GTGTAAGTTTAAGATGTACAATGTGATGATCTGACATGTACATACTGTAAAAGTTTATTACAGAAAGATTCATTAACATATCCATTATATTATGTAATTACCATTTTATAATTGCTGTTGCTTTAAGACTATTAAAATTCTACTCTCAGAGCAACTTTCAAGTACTATCAACCATAGCGACGATGCTGTACTTTAGGTCCCCCTACCATATTCAACTTACAACTAAAAGGTTCTACCTTTTAACCAGCATCTCCTCTCTTCCCTCCCTCTCAGCCCTAGCAACCACCACTCTACTCTGCTTCTATGAGTGTGGTGTTTTTAGATTCTAAATATGCATGAAATCACATACTATTTGTCTTTGCTGTCTGACTCATTTCACTTACCTTCATGCCTTCAAGGTCCATATGTACATAAACATATATATGTATCTATATACATACATATATACATTTTCTTTATCCATTTTTCTGGATGGATACTTAGGTGGATTTCTTTGGTGGACACAGGTTATTTGCATGCCTGGACTACTGTGAAAAATGCTATAATTAATAAGGAGCTGAAGATGTTATCTTCTCTGTATATATATACCCAGAAGTGGAATTGGTAGATCATCTGGTAGATCATGTTCTATTTTTATTTTTTTGAGGAGTCTCCGTACTGTTTTCCTCAGCAGTTGTACCAATTTAAATTCACACCAACAGTGCACAGAGTTCCTCTTTCTCCAAATTCTCATCAGTGTTTATCTCTTCTCTTTTTGATAACAGCATTTGAACAGGTGTGAGATGATACCTCATTCTGGTTTTGATTTGTATTTCTCTGATGATTAGTGATATTGAACATCTTTTCATGTATTTAATAGACATTCTGTAAGTCATCTTTACAAAAATTTGTTTATTCAATACCTCTACCTATTTTAAAATGGATTATTTGCTTTTTTGCTATTGAGTTGGATGAGGCCTTTATGTATTTTGGACATTAATCTTTCACTAGAGAGATAGTTTGCAAATATTTTCTCCCATTCAGTAGATTTCCTTTATTTTGCTGAGTTTCTTTTACTGTGCACTTTTCTGTTTGATGTAGTCAAACTTGTTGATTTTTGTTTTTGTTCCTTGCACTTTTGGTGTCATATAGAAAAATTCGTTGTCAAACAGACATCAAGGAGCTTTTTCCCTGTTTTCTTCTAGGAGTTTTACGGTTTCAGTCCTTAATCCATTTCAAGTTAATTTTTCATTTAAGTCCTTAATCCATTTCAAGTTAATTTTTAAAAGGATTTTATTTATTTATTTTTAGAGAGAGGGGAAGGGAAGGAGAAAGAGAGGGAAACATCAAAGTGTGGTTGCCTCTCACATGCCTCCTACTGGAGACCTGGCCCACAACCCAGGCATGTGCCCTGACTGGGAATCTAAGCAGCGACCCTTTGGTTCGCAGGCCCGCACTCAGTACACTGAGCCACACCAGCCAGGGCTCAAGTTAATTTTTGTATTAAGTGTAAGAAAGATGTCCAATTTCATTCTTTTACATGTGGACATCATTTCCCCAAAACCATCTGCTGAGATTACCTTTCCCTGTTCAGTATTCTTGGCTCCATTGTCAAATATTAGTTATCATATATGGGTCATAGATATTTATCTCTAGTCTCTCAATTCTGTTCCACTGTTTTATGTGTCTGCTTTTATGCCAGTGTCACACTGTTTTGATTACTATAACTTTGTATTTTAGTTTAAAATCAGAAAGTGTGATGCCTCCAGCTCTTCTTTCTCAAGATTTCTTTGGCTATTCAGGGTCTTTTGCGGTTTCATACAAATTTTAGAATTGTTTTTACTATGTCTGTAAAAAGTACCAATGGAATTTTGTTACTGTATTCAATCTACAGAAGGCTTTGGGTAGTCTGGAGATTTTACCAGTATTAACTCTTCCAATCCATGCATATGGAGTATCTATTTCTCTTTGTCTTCAGGTTCTTTTATCAATGTCTTACAGTTTTTAGTGTACAGATCATTCGCCTCCTTGTTAAATTTATTCCTAAGTATTTTATTGTTTTTCATGTTATTGTAAATGGGGTTGTTTTATTTCTTTTCCAGAATGTTCATTGCTAGTATCTACAAACGCAACTGACTTTTGTATGTTGAGTTTGTGTCCTGAAATTTTATTCAATCGTTTACTGGTTTTAACACCTTTTTCGTAAAGTCTTTAGGGTTTTCTACATACAAGATTGTAACATTAGCAGAGAAAATGTTATTTCTTCTTTGCCAATATAGATGCATTTTACCTCTCAAGCAGCTGACAGTTATCCAACACCTCCTTGCTATCTCCTCTGGCTTCTGAAATACCACACCCTCAGTTTTCTTTCTCCTTCCCTCCTTTCTCAATCTCATTTGTTAAGTCCTTTTTATCCTCTTACACATAATGCTCCAGGGCTCAGTCTTCAGACTTTCATCATTAATAATTTAAGTCCCATCAGGAAAGTGGCTGCCCCCAAAGCTGGAGAGACAGCAAGGTGGGTACAAAGAGTCTCAGTTCATCCGTGCAGAAACCAGTGGTTCTGCAGGAAGCAATGCCAGAGTAACCATCCAACTGCTGAAAGACTGGTGTGGATAAGCCTGAGAATTAAAAAATCCCCAGAGAAGCCAGTCACGGGGCCCTCCACCCCATGCTTTTGTAAAGTTTAGCTCGAGGAGCTCTACCAGGTCCTCAGTAATAATTAGGAAAAAAATCCACCCCTGCTTCCCAGAGAAAAGGAACCATTTAAAAATATACCAGAACATTCTGCTCAGCAAGGTCTGCCCTCAGTAAAAACTATTCTACTGAAGCTTAGCCAACTAGGGTTTTATCAGAGCCTAACCTACCTGCAGAACCCCAGCCTCCTCTAGCCATCCTATCCCAACTAAGCTCCGAAAACAGTGAGAAATACTGGAGAAGAATACACGCCAGGGGCACAGGCTCGCCAAGAGCAGATGCATAATGTAAGCAGAGAGATGGGAAATTTTCAGAAAGAACAAAAAGTTAGAGATTAAAAAATACTGTAAAAGAAATGAAGTATGCCTTTGATAGGTTTAGCAGTAAACTGGACACAGCTGAGGAAAGAATCCCTGAGTATGAGGATGGGGCAAATAAACTTCCATAACTGAAAAGCAGAGAGAAAAAAAAGACTGGGGAAAAAAAAAACCAGAATATACGATATCTGTGGGACAACTATAAAACATAAACCAGATCATGCCACAGTCCTGGTAAAATACCTTCAAAAGGCTTCCCATCATTTAAACAAAAATGAAAGTCCTTATGCCAATAGCCTGTTCGACGTTCCATGATCTGCCCCCTGGTATGTCTCCCACCTCATCTTCCACCTCCCTTTCCCCCTACTACCAGCTGCCTGTGTCATCGTGCTATCTTCTAATGCTCTTCAAGCTTATCTCTGCTTCAGATACACTGCATTCCCTGTTTCTCCGACATGAATATTCTTCCCCTGGCTAGTCACATGGACCTCTCCCTCACTTTGTTCAGAGTCTGTTGAAATACCACCCCTCAAAAGCCTTTAATCAACACTCTGCTGAAGATACCACCCTATCTTCATTTTGCTTTATTCTCTAAAAAAAAAAATTATTTGTGATACATTATTTATGTTATATGATATGTTATATCATGTGTTTGTTCGTTTTCTGTCATCCTTTGAGGGGAGCAACTCCGACCTGACCACTTCTCTACGTACAGCACAAATCAGGTGTTCAATAAACCACTGTTGAATCCGTAAATGACTACTACAATTTTAACAAGTTTTTATCTTGTGTATAAAGCTAAATGGACTATGATAAGATTACTAAAACTATATTTAATTCAGACTTCAACATTAAGTGATCTGTCCCATTTCTGATAAAACATTTACAAAAATGTCGTTATTTCTGCACTGAATTTCCAGACCCAAAATAAAGAAAAGTATTTCCCCCAAAATAAAGAAAAGTAAAATGTTTCTAATGTGCTAACCTTAAGATCGGACACACTTTTAGGTGATGGGAAGAATGACCATTTACATTGAAACCCAAGACTGTTTTACCCCACAGGCACACCTGAACTCAGGTACCTTGGTTACCTTTATTCCAGTTTTAAGTTAACTTTTTTCACCAGGTAATATGTTCACATAGTTTTTTAAGAAGTCTGAAAAAGTAAAGTACAAAGTATACCTCCTGTCCTTCAGATACCTAGTTTAAGTTTCTATCATCACAAAGTAACCACTGGTATCATGAAGCAGGGATGGGCAAATTTTTTTCTGTAAAGGACCAGATAGTAAATAATACCAGCTTTGCAGGCTATTAGTCTGTCATGACTGTTCCACCTGGCTATACACAATATGTAACCAAATGTGCACAGTTGTATCCCAATAAAACTTTGTTATAAAGCTAAGTTAAATAATTCTCTTTTATAAAAATCTTTAATGGTAGTGCTTGGAAAGGACTGCAATGGAACAGACTGCAACAAAAAATGCTGTTTAAAAAAATTCATACTACTACCCATACTTATGTATTAATATACATTCTCATGTAAAAATACAATTTTCATATAAATAGACAATACTATTCCAAGATGTCTTCTCTATAACCTATAATATATTACACCAAATATACTCTCATGGCATAATTATGAAGAACTAGAGGAATATTATGACAAAACAGACTGGTAACCTAACATCACCATACTGTCAACATTAAACTCTGACCTAAAATTTACCTTTAAATGATAGATCAAATATATAATTAACATTTTCATGCAACACATTAAAAAATGAAACCAGAGTTTATGTTTAAAAGCAAACTAAATCCTAAACATATATTTCCCAATCAAATCAATTCCAAAATGCATGTTCCTAATATGTCTTACCCAGGTTTTAATTTACTAAAATTAATCAGGATTAGAAAGAACCAGCTCTGTCTGAAAAGTAGATCAATACTACATTGAGTCACCAGTAACCAGCTTCTCAAAATCCAAAGGTATCTAAGAATATATCTTACCTTAGATGCCATTCTCATAAAAAGTTTGTTTTGATTTTCTGCAGTTCCCATCTTCTCATTCTTGACTAAATCATTTAGGCTTAGTTTATCATCATCATGGAAGTATCTGACCCTTTCTTTTTCCTCATGGGTTGAAGCCTATGACAAAATGAACACTAATTTAGTGAAAACATAAGTTTCTGAAGCATTTCAATGAATTACCTAGGAATCTGATATTAAATGTACAAATCCCACTATGTATCACAATCCTACCTTCCTATGAATACCTATTCTACTTGATTCCATGTGGAAGAATTTCCATTACAGTAACACTCCCTACTTTTCTGCCTCTTTCCTTTCTTCTTGCCCAGGGAACAAGGCATGATGTTTTGGGATTTCTGAGTTTGGGGGAAAAGGGAGAATAACTGTATACCTTCTGTCCCCTCTGCTCGCCTCCTCCTTGTAGGAAAAATTCCCTACCACTATGGAGGGAAGTCTGCAGTTATCCAGAAATTAATTAAGTACATTGAAAACAGAGAAGTATTACCAAACCCAAATTGAACATTTCTATCAGAAACAAAGAAGATATTTTGATTCTTCACTAAATCAATCCTATGTTTTCCTATAAGATGGTCTCATACCTACTTGTGAAAAATAAAAGTGCTATTTATTCCCTCCCAAATCAAATCCCCCCAGTACTATTTGCACATTTTCCTATACAAATAAAACCCACTCTTTAATTTCTTTTAAATCTTTGGAACCACATTCCCAATATTTCTCCCCAACTATTCCTGCCTTCACTAGCTTGAATCTCATATTCCATGACTTCAGTCATTCTCTGGCTCCAGGTCCTTAGTTTCTGGCCCCATTATCCTTTCACTGCACACAAAAAGCAAACCTCAACCTCGAGAAAGTGTGTCTACCCTCTTCACTCCTATGTCCAGACTGTTTGGTAGCAAGCAATTCTAAAAGAGCCCTCGATGCCATCTGGCAGTGCAACTATGGGCCCCTAGTCAGTTCTATCATTTTGTATAGTTCAAATCTTTCCTTTTTCCTGCCAAACCCCTCCTCCAAACCCCGAATCTGTCCCATGTCGTTAGAAGAAGAGCTCTCTCTTCCAGGCCTATTTGCTGAATGAGGTCATTATTATCTCTAGCAGCATAGATACTGAACAGGCAAATAATAAATATTTGACAGAAAAACTGAATGAATTATAAACTTTTGTGGACTAAACCACCACATGTATGACCTTACAAATTTTTTTTTTAAACCCTAATTTGGGAAAACTGAATACATTGTTTTTGCGATCTCAGGAGCCTAAAAGTACTGACAAAAACGAACTGCTAGAGCTGAAAGATGGAAAAGAAAATGAGGTTTATAAAGATCACAGCAACTACATAATTAAGACATTGTGCACCATCAGGTCTCAAAGTAGCTAACACAGATATGAGGCCTAGAGATCGAAGTTTTCCACTAAACCTATGGAAAGTACATAAGACGAAGCTAGAAATAATGTTAAAGAAATGTGCATTAAAATTAAAGTTGCCTTCAAAAGTCAACGTTCACAGTTTTTTGAAAGCTGTAGTGAATTACATTCCATTTTCTAAAAGGCAAAGGGATCGAACTAGGAATAAAAGTAATAACGTAATTTACTGCCTTCTAATATTTGCATTATGCAGTGACTTTTCAGAAAATAATCTGAAGTAGTCTGATGAAATGAAAGCCCCAAGAAGAAAAAAAGGAATTCTGAAGAAACACAGATGTGTGCTACACATACCATCTGTCTCTTCCTTCTTCCTCCTTTAGATTCCAGAGCTTTTGCTGGTGTGTTCACAGGCCAGACTCTTCCCAACTGATCTGTGCTCATGAGAATCACTTCTCGCTGGTCTTCACCCTATGGAAATATTTAGAGATAACTTTCAAAACTACTGTGAAGAGTGCTGAAGGCTTATATTTAATAACGACAAGAACATATAAGCATAAAAATGATTTAGCTTTCACATATTATGTATTATCTTAAGTTTCCTAGACTTTTAATACCCACCATAATGTAATTATGATCATAATCTTTTTAGAGAAAAAGTAGGGGAAAATATCAAAAGTTTACTTTATTGTTTTTTTAAAAGAATCATAGAATCAAACTTCAAATAAGGTGATCAACTAAGATGATAAAGAACCAATATTTAAAGAGACACTGTATGAGAAGGTCTATCACTTATGCAGTAGATGTCATTTTTATAAATGTTTCTTCAACTTAAAAAAAATCCTAAAACTCAATTATAAGAAATAGAGCAACTAAATGACAAAACAAGCTTTTTAAATCAGCCACTCTACACAACTGTGAAGTTAGCCACTCCACACAACTTCTATTTTCTTCATTCTCAGTTCTGCAATGCTTTCCACTTTCCTGGGTCTTCAGAAGAAACTGTATTTCACACACTTCCCATCTGTAACCTTTTCCTGCAGATTTTTAACCAACTACACACATGCCTGGTCCTTATTCTATGATGAAGAGAATGTTATTGGGAAGGTTTTAATAAGGAACTAAATAAAGACTATTAGTAAAGTGTTAAAAATCAAGTTGAAACATGAGAAAGCAAATTCTTCCTATTTCAATTTTCTTCTTGATCTTACATTCATACACAATATTAAGTGGATGCTAAAAATATCACTATTTTTCTTCTTTAATTAATTAATAAACATTAATTAATGAAGTATCATGTTTTAGAGGGCATCTTTCTGCTCGCTCTCTTACTTATAGTGTTTTGCCCAACAGAGATGGGCAAAATTTCTAAATTTATATTACTGCTAATGCTAATCTCTTAAGGACTTTCAAATTACCAACTCTAATAAATACCAATTATCATCTAACTTGATTGGAAAGCATTTGATTGGTTATTATACGGGGTCCAGCACAAATAATGCCCCTTTCTTATTACAAAAAAATTTTATTACAAAATCATAAGCATGTAATTCTGTAACATAACAATATCACATGCAAGCACACCATATGACCTTTTAGGTGATATGTTCGAATTAAAACTATAAATTATTATACCCATATTATTACCCTACCAATCACACTCAATTGGGTGTTATTACTTCTGCCACACCCCATATTATCTGCCTAAAAGTTTTTTTCCCCAATTTTAAGCACTTCACTTTCCTGGTTCTGCCTTACCTCTCTGACTCATTCATTTATTCAGTATTTTTAAATGCCTCCCCTATGTAGTAACTAAAAAAATATATAGTTGCTGCCTATAAGAAGCTTGTAACCAATTGAAATAATTATTCTCTACATGAATTATCAGTATAAAGAAAGCCAAATTCACTAAACTCAATGAAACTTTTGCAATTGCAAGCAAAAGAATAAAATATCTAGAAATAAACTTAACGAAGGATGTGAAGGACTTATATGGTTAAAACGGCCATATTACCCAAAGCAATATTTTGAATTTAATGCAATACCCATCAAAATTCCAATGTCATTTTTAAAGAAATAGAACAAAGTAATTATGAGATTTGTAAGGAACCACAAAACACCCTGAATAGCCAAAGCAATCCTGAGAAAAGAGAACAAAGCTGGAGGTATCACACTACCTGACTTCCAATTATACTACTGAGCCATGATAATCAAATCAGCATGGTACTGACAGAAAAACCAGATACATAGACCAGTGGAAGAGAACTGAGAGCCCAGAAATGAAACCACATATATGTGGCAAATATTTTTTGACAAAGGAGCCAAAAACACACAATGGAAAAAAAGAAAGCCTCTCCAATAGTGCTGGGAAAATAGAAAAGCCACATGCAAAATAATGAAACTAGATTACAGTTTGTCCTCATATACAAAAATTAATTCAAAATGGATCAAAGAACTAAACAAAAGATCTGAAATAAGAAATTACATAGAAGAAAACATAGGTACTAAATTTACACACTTTGGCCATAGAGAACATTTTATAATTTTGAACCCAAAGGCAAAGGAAGTAAAGGCAAAATCAAATGAGTGGGTCTAGACCAAATTAAAAACTTCTGCACAGCATAGAATCCAACAATAAAACAAAAAGGCAACCAACCAAATAGGAGATATATGCAAACGGCTCTAAAAAGGGATTAATATGCAAAATATACAAAACATTCATACAATTCACCAATAAACAAACAATCCAATTAAAAAATGAATAGAGGACCTGAACAGACCCTTCTCCCAAGACAGACAAACAACTAACAGATATATGAAAAGATGTTCAACTTCACCAGCTACTAGGAAATGCAAATCAAAACTACAATGAGATGCCACCTCACACCTGTTGGCTAGCCTATGATCAATAAGATAGGCCATAAAAAGTACTGGAGAGACTATGAAGAAAAAGGAACCCTCATTCACTGCTGGTAGGAATGTAAACTGATATAGCCACTACAGAACACAGCATGGCAATTCCTCGAAAAGTTAAGAATCAAGTTAGCACGTGATTCAGCAATCCCTCTTCTGGGTATCTACTTGAAAAACTCAAAGGCATTTATTCACAAAGACATATGCACACCTATGTTCACTGCAGCATTACCATGGTCATCAAGACAGGGAGAAAACCAAAGTACCCTTTGACAGAAGAATGGATAAAGAAGATGGAGTAAATATATGTGGTCTGTCCAAAAGGTATCCAGCTATGTAATATGAAAAATAGAGACATTTATTGGAAGAAGATATAAGATACAAGAAACATTGTACATGGGACAATGACATCTCAGTCCCCTTCAAAGTGGACACATTGGGACCTCACACAGTTCTCCCAATCACCATCAGCTGCACTGTCGTATTTTCCTGAATCCCACTGATGGTCTGAAATCTCTTCCGTGTCTAAAGTGATTTTAATTTTGGGGAAAACCCAGAAGTCACAGGACACCAAATCTGGGCTGTAGTGGGACTGCATCACCTGGGTGATTTGATGTTTCACAAAAAAAACTCTGCACAAGACGTAATTCATGAGCAAGTATGTTGTCAGGATGAAGCTGCCAATCACCAGATGCCCATACCTGCAGCCTTCTGAATCATCCAAATAGTTTCCATGCAGCAACATTCAAGCTTAATGTAAAATTTAATGCAGATTCATCATTGCTCTAGTTACTCAAGACATTTTGAATATGACGGTCACACGGTACACAGGCTCACTCAACAGCATCTACCATCCCCACTGACTAGTACAGTGCAGTCGTCATTGTTCACACATGCTCATTTCAGTCCACTCTCCCTGGATGCCAGGTTACAATGATGCCACACTAACCATTCTTGTCATATTAACAATAGCTGGACTTTTTCCACACAACCTTATATACAATAGAATACTAGTCAGGCATAAGAAAAAGATAAAATACTGCCATTTGCAACAACATGGTTAAACCCTGAGCACATTATGCTAAATGAGAAAGAAATCAGTCAGAAAAAATAAGAACCATATGATCTTTCTCACATATAGGATATAAAACTGAAACTCTTAGACATAGGCAACAGAACGGTGGTCACCAAATGGAAGGGGACTGAGGAATAGTAAAAGGTAAAGGGGGCTGGCCAAATATGTGTTGATGGAAGACCATTTGACTTTGGTGGTGGGCACACAGTGCACTGTAGAGATCACGTGTCTTAAAAATGTGCACTTGAAACCTATATAATCCTATTAACCAATGTCATCCCAATAAGATTTAATAAAAGATAAAAAATTTAAAATTTAAAATTAAAAAAAGTATTTGTGTATAAACTCAAGATGGATAAAAGACTTAACCATCCATAAGTTGCAACACCATAAAATTTCTAGAAGAGAACATAGGCAGGAAAATCTCAATTATTCCATGCAGTAATATTTTCACCATTCTGTCCCTTAGAGCAAGGGGCATAAAGGAAAGAATAAAGAAATGGGATCTTATCAAAATTAAAAGCTTCTACACAGCTAAAGAAAACATAAGCAAAATGAAAACGGAACAAACCATATGGGAAAATATATTTGCCAATGATACCTCAGACAAGGGTTTGATCTCCAAAATGTATACAGAATTCACATGACTCCACTCCAGGAAAACAAACCCAATTAAAAAATGGGCAAAGAACTTCTCCAAGGAGGACACAGAGAAGGCCCAGACACATATGAAAGGATGCTCAGCATCACTAGCCATTAGAGAGCCGCAAATTAAAAACACAGTGAGATATCACCTCATACCAGTCAGAATGGCCATCGACAAACAACAAGTGCTGGTGAGGTTATGGAGAAAAGGGAACCCTAGTTCACTATTGGTGGGATTGCAGATTGGTGCAACCACTATGAAAAACAGTATGGAATTTCCTCAGAAAACTAAAAATGGAGCTGTCTTTTGACCTGGCAATTCCACTGCTGAGAGTGTACCCTAAGAATCCTGAAACACCAATTCAAAAGAACCCATGCACCTCAATATTCATAGCAGTGCAATTTGCAATAGTCAAGTGCTGGAAGGAACCTAAATGCTCGCCAGTAAATGAGTGGACAAAAAAAACTGTGGTACATTTACACGATGGAATACTATGCAGCAGAAATAAAGAAGGAATTCTTATCCTTCACAACAGCATGGATGGAACTGGACAGCATTATGCTAAGTGAAATAAGCCAGGTGGTGAAAGACAAATACCATATGATCTCACCTACAAGTGGAACCTAATCAACAGAACAAACAAGCAGCAAAATATAACCAGAGACATGGAAAGAAAGAACAAACTGACAGTAACCAGTGTGTGTGTGTGTGGGGGGGGGCATTGGTAGCAGGGGAAAGAAGGGAGAGAGTCACCAAGAAACATGTATAAAGGTCACATGGACAAAGCCAAAGGGGGTGTAGGATCAAGGGTGTAGGGTGGAGATGGGTGGAGCCAGGGGGAGGGGTGGGGAGAAATGGGGAGCACCGTACTTAAACAATTAAAAATTAAAATTAAAAATTAAAAAAAATTGTTCAATAAAGGTCAAACCTCACTGCTTAAAAATAAAGGCAAATAATCATTACTGTATTTTTTTTATCTTGTACTAAAAATTTCTTTTTCTGTTTTACAGTTTTTCTAGGTATCAGTTGCAGAGGCTGGAATGCCAAAACAGAAAATAGTGTAGGCATACACAGAGTCTATGAATCACAGCAATGGTAATATAGTGAACTTAAAATGTATCTAGGAATCCAACTAAAAACACAGTGTTACAGCAATAATGAATTATGGTCAAACTATTGGAAGTACTTTCAAATGCCTGACTTTATGTACAAAATGCCACAGAGTTTATCTATTTCTTTAATTAGTCATTAGTGAATGTTTCTCTATGAGCCTCTAAGGCCTTCAGTTAATTTCTCCAATTGCTTTCAAGAAGATGTCTATGAAACCACCTCCACACAGCTGCTTGTGGGTTATAATACTGTATTTCTCTTCCTTGCCAGCAGTGTGAACTAAACATTTAAGCCATTGCACCATTCATTATGGAGTGATTATTTCATTATTTACTGCAAATAGTACACTGAATTTCCTACAATGCTAGAAAAAAGAAAAAATGTAGAGCTGATTTCCCTTAAATTAAATGTGCCCGTGATGTGATTCCCCTGAAGGACTGCTCACTGGTTAAAGAAGGGCAGATTAGCATCAAATAATATTAAAGAATAAGATTAGATTTGTCCTGATACAGAACTGACAATCCTCCCAAAGCCAATGGATCTCATCGTTCGGTGCCCAAGCACAAGTCAGGTGAAGATACTATGCAGCTGGGTGATTATCTGGATAAGGAAGCTACACTTGTAGGAAGGCCAGACTAGAGGATGTACTAAGTTCATGGAGTTTTAAGGTTTCCGACAGAAAACTATAGGGAAGAAAATAAACTGTAGACACTCAGACAACAAATATTTTAAGCATTTCTTGGTTATTTACAACGTGTCAAGCATTAACTTAGGCACTATAAGTGAACTAAAAGAGTCCTTCCCCTACATACTAAATAGTTCGCCCTATAAAGGGAAATAGAAGTAAGCAAATCAATAATTACAAGTGCTGCCTGTTTTTCACTAAGGCCAAATGATATTCATAGATCATTAAATCAAGAGATTTACCTTATTCGTATAACCTAACATTTCTAACAAGCTAAAAAATGAAAGGATTCCTCCCAGTTCAACTGTTCTATGAATGGGATTTTCTTTCCTCTGAAAGGGCAAAATTTCTATCACAAATACTCCAGGATTTTCCTCTATAAAGTCAGCACATTTCTCTGGTGTAGTAAATAAATCTGCATTCCATTCTCATGTCTTAACAAAACTACTGTACTTTGAAAGGCAGATGAACCATCAGACCCTGACCCTGATGGAATAAATATTTTAATGGCAGTAGAAAAGTACTTCACAATTGTCAGCAGGGATTTGTTTCAATAAAACCTGAACTAAACCTGCAAGTATCTTATCTCTACGAAGAAGATAAATTTTCCTTCTGGTCAAAGAATCCTTAATACAAAAATGTTTCTTCGAGAGCATCAAAGGACTAAACAGTTTCCAAAAAAAGCTGACAAACAGAAATTCTACTTTGTACACTACTTTGAACACAAGTTTGAATTCTACTCCACTGAGTTATGAGGTCCAGTGTTCAAAAGCTAGGAGGAGCTAAAATGCTTAAGGGCAACAACAATAGTATAAAGTTATACATTCAAGGGATGAGATACAATTTGTCAATTAGTCTACAGTATCCTTAATCAGAAGAAATGTTATTTAACAGAAGATCTGCTTTAATTTTTTTCTGAAGTGCTTTCAATTTCAAGGACAGCCTGAAGCCCAGCCACAACTTTAGAACCTTTCATACAAAGTGTCAGGGAAAGACAGGTACAGATTGGAGGGTAATGACAAGAATACAAATGTGAACAAAGTCCACTGAGAATTCTTAGGGTTCATAAAGGAGGCAGAGAGAAACTGAAAAGTGGACAAGGCAAAGAGGGTGGACCTGACGCGGGTGGACCTGACGCAGGTAATTAACAGCATACATAAACAGTGAAGAGACAGGCAGGTCATGTGTAAGACAGCTGGGGGGGGGCTGAAAAATGGGGCAATACTGTGGGAGGTGACACTGCAGGAAGACCCAAGTGTTTAATGCAGTCAGCACTAAGAAACCACAAAAGTTTCAGAGTACAGAAGAATTATGACCACAGTGACACCTGGGAAAATAAATTTGGCAAAAGTATATGATAGACTGTACAGTACCTAGTTTTAGCCAGTACCCAGTATTGCCCCATTTTTCAGCCCCCCCCAGAGCTGTCTTACACATGACCTGCCTGTCTCTTCACTGTTTACGTATGCTGTTAATTACCTGGCATTCTGGCATTCTGTTGGTGCTAGTCACACCAGTTTTTAAGTTCTTGCCCTTTAGAATGAGAGACTTGGGTTTGGTGTGCATGTTATGTAAAACAAATTAGTTTGTTCTGTGATTCATCCATCCATCTATTAGACTAGCACCAACAGAATGACAGAATCCACAACAAAAGCAGGTCTCCTTGGCCTGGGCTTTTCGCATTAGGACACACTAGGGCACAGGTGGCAAACACAAAGCCTGTGGGCTGAATCCGGCCCTCTACCTTGTTTTACCTGGCCCAGCACCTTGTTTCTACCTGGCCGCAGCGCCGAGCTCTCACTTAACTGTTATGAGTAGTTACATTTATACAGTCCTAAAATTACATTTGGCCCTTTGAAGGTAACCAACCACAAGGCTCATGTGGTGAAAATGAGTTTGACACCCCTGCACTAGTGGAACATAAAACAATTCATATGAAAATAAATTTCAAAAACAAGCAAACAATCACATACCACACACACAGAAAAAAACACCTGACAGAGACATCTTTCATATTAAAATACTACCACTGCCAAGTAGTATTGTACAAGGTAATTTTATACCTGCAAACAAACTCTTATTACTTACCTCTACCCCAGACTTTTTTGATGATATCTGTGTTACAGTTTCTTTGAATTTATTTGCCTTTTCAAGTTGGGCTTTAAGATGTTCAGCTAATTCCTTCAAACAGAAAAACAAGAAAAACCGGCGTGAATATAGATAGTTCAATTCCTCATTGTGTAATATTTCAAATTTATACAATAAAAAGAAAAAAGCATAGTAAACACCCATGTAGCCATCACCTAAACTAAGGTATTGCTTCTAAACAAACTTCGGTTACAAACTTCTCAAATACCTGTGGCATGTGTTTGCATTTTGAAAGTAAATAATTATAACAATATATATTTTAGGAAAGATAGGAAGATGGAAGAAATATATAACCTTAAGAATTACATTTTTATAGTTCTTAGGTACTGTAACTTCCAATCCTCAAAAGCTTAGTTATTTGTAAGCTGGGAGACATCACAGGACTTAAAATATGACCTTCTTTATTGATGATAAGTAATTTAGATAAAAATTCTAAATTTATTTTTACTCTAGAAACTCTACAGGAATTTATATGAATAACTGCACCAAAGCAATAAATCACACAGATATACATAGATTTATATGACAAGCAAAAAACAGCATTCTCCACTGTAGTACACAGAAACACTTCTTTTAACATGTTAACCCCCTTGCTTTCCAAACTCAAACTTTATTTTCTTGCTATTCTTTTTGTTGTCATTTTTCATCTCATCAATTGCTGGTTTAAAGTTCTGAGTTGAAGTTCATTGTCACCAAGGACCAAATTCAAAGAGGAAGAGCAGCATATGCAAGATATGCCTTTTATTAGACAAACAAATGAGTAAAAATATATTATTTGACCACCTTCACTTCTACTAAAAAGTGCTGAACTGACAGCATACCAAAACAGAAGACTGCTTATATCTGAGTTTGAGGTGAGTACATTCATATGACCATGAGGGAATTTCTTTGGTCAAGACAAAAAAGCTACCTGACTTTGCTCATCTGCCATGTGCAACAATGTCACATGTGTCAGTGTAACAGAAACGTGGCAACATAACAGATAGAAAGATGCTGCTCCTATCAACTCATCCCTATTTCTACTCAAATTTGAGGCAAATCAGTCTAAATCACATTATTACAGAATTTAAGTGAGCTAATCCAGCAATTTTCAAACTTTTTCAACATAAACTAATTACTAAAATTCTGCAGCAAACCAAAAAAATGTTTTTTGTTGATCTGACAAAAACATAGTATTATTTGGATTTATTTATACCAGATGGCAATTTTGTAGTGACTGCTGTGATTTTTTTTAAATTTAGCAATCTAAGGGAAAAGAGGTCACTGCCCCTGACTACAGTCAGGTATTGCATGTTTTGAAAATTCTTGGGGCACACCAGTTGAAAAATCACTGAGCTAACAACCTATACAAAAGTATCTAACACATTTTCAGACACAAACACATTGCCTTAAAATTTAAATAAATTAATTAACCATCCTTATAAGGAGCTCATATTTTAACTTCCTATGTAAGGGAATTTAAGAAAGTAATACATGTCCTTAAAAACACATGACCAAAAATTTTACATAAAAATCCTACAAGAAAACACAGGCAGTAAAATCTCAGACATCTCTTGCACAAGTACTTTGGCCAATATTATCTCCTTGGGCAAGGGAAACAATAAATAAATAAATAAATAGGACTCCATCAAACTAAAAAGCCTCTTCACAGCAAAAGAAAACACCAACATATAAAAAAGAAACACATTCTATAAGAAAACATATTTACCAATAATATATCTGGTAAGGGGTTAATTTCCAAAAGATATAAAGAACTTATACAACTCAACAATCAGGAAGACAAACAATCCAATTAAAAAATGTGCAAAAGACCCGAGTAGACACTTCTCCAAAGAGGATATACAGATGGCCAACATCATATGAAAAAATGTTCAACATCACTAGTCATAAAAGAGATGCAAATTAAAACCACAATTAGACTTCCAGCCAAGATGGACACATAGCTAGACAGACTGTGCCTCATCACACAACCAAAAGAAGAACAACGACAAATTTAAAAACAAAAAACAACTAGAACTGACAGAAAATCAAACTTTATAGAAGTCTGACAACCCAGGAGTTAAAGAAGAAACATTCATCCAGACCCATAGGATGGGTGGAGTCAGGCAGCCAGGGCAGAGAGGGCTCGAGGCGAGGCAGCCTCTGGCGTACCAGGTGGCCCCACATTTGTGTGCAGATAAACTGGGAGGAACAACTGGGAGTGAGACAGCCTCAAAGCCTCTGACTGAAAACACCTGTGGGGATTGAGGCAGCAGGAGAAACTCGCAGCCTCACAGGACAGTTCATTACAGAGACCCACAGATTCCCAGAACATACACAAACCCACCCCCCCAGGAATCAGCACCAGAGGGGCCCAATTTGATTGTGGGGAAGCGGGGGAAGTGACTGAAAACTGATAGAGAGCAGAGCAAGTGGTATTGTTCCCTCTTGGACCTGTGTCCCACATACAGAGCCACAATCCAGCATGAGGATGGTCCCACTCTGGGGAATACCTAAGGCTCCACCCCTTACTATGTAACAGGCACAAAAAGACAAAAAAAAATGGCCCAAATGAAAGAACAGATTACAGCTCCAGGAAAAACACAACAAGCAATGAAGAGATAGCCAACCTATCAGATGCACAGTTCAAAACACAGGAAATCAGGATTCTCACAAAAACTGGCTGAGTATGGTCGCAAAATAGAGGAAAAAAATGAAGGCTATGCTAAGTGAAATAAAGGAAAATGCCCAGAGAACCAACAGTGACAGGAAGGAAACCAGGACTCTAATCAATGGTTTGGACCAGAAGGAAGAAAGAAACAGTCAACCAGAACAGAATTCAGAAACAAGAATTCAAAAATATGAGGAGAGGCTTAGGAACCTCTGGAACATCTTTAAATGTTCCAACATCTGAATCATAGGAGTGCTAGAAGAAGAAGAGGAAGAGCAAGAAATTGAAAACTTATTTGAAAAAATAATGAAGTCTATTTCCTTTCTCCAATCTGGGAAAGGAAATAGACTTCCAGGAAGCTCAGAGAGTCCCAAAGAAGTGGAATCCAAGAAGGAACACACTAAGGCACATCATACTTACATTAGCCAAGATTAAAGATAAGGAGAGAAACTTAAAAGCAGCAAGAGAAAAGGAGACAGTTACCTACAAAGGAGTTCCCATAAGGCTATTAGCTGATTTCTCAAAAGAAACCTTACAGGCAAGAAGAGGCTGGAAAGAAGTATTCCAAGTCATGAAAGGCAAGGACCTACATCCAAGATTGCTCTATCCAGCAAAACTTTCATTTAGAATGGAAGGACAGATAAAGTGCTTCTCAGATAAAATCAAATTCAAGGAGTTCAGCATCACCAAACCCTCATTATATGAATTATTAAAGGGACTTAGAAAAAGAAGATAAAAATATGAATAGTAAAATGACATCAAACTCACAGCTATTAATAACCAAACCTAAAAGCAAACAAAAACAAATTAAGCAAACAACTACAACAGGAACAGAATCACAGAAATGGAGATCACATGGAGGGTTATCAGAGGGGGAGTGGGAGAGAAGGGAAAAAAGTTACAGAGAATAAGTAGCATAAATGGTAGGTAGGGGATAGACAGGGGGAGGTTAAGAATAATATAGGAAATGTTGAAGCCAAAGAACTTACATGTATGACCCACAGACATGAACTAAAGCGGGGGGAATGCGGGTGGGAGGAGGTGTGCAGAGCGGAGGGGAATAAAGGGGGGATAATGAGACAACTGTAATAGCATAATCAATAAAATATATTTAAAAAACAAAAACAAAAAATAGCTTGAAAAACAACCATATTATTATAGTTTTAGCAAACTATGCACAGTTTAATATTTTAAAACATTCATACTATATCTGGCATTGGTTATCCAGTACTTTGTAAAATTATTTCTATAACCATTAATAAAATGTATAATTTATAAAGAATACAAACACAAATTTCATTATATTGTCATGTGAAATGGTTATATGTGTTGTGGTGTTAATAAAATAAAAAATAAAACCACAATTAGATTATCACCTCATACCTGCCAGAACAGCCACTAAAACAGTAAGTGTTGGTGAGTATGGGGAATAAGGGGGACCTTAGCGCACTGTTTCTGGAAATACAGACTGGTGCAGCCACCATGGAAAACAGTATGGAGTGTCATCAAGAAATTAAAAATGAAACTGTCTTTTGATCCAGTGATCCCACTTGTAGAAATACAGCCTAAGAATCCCAAAATACCAATTTGAAAGAATATTTGTACCCCTATGTTCATTGCAGCATTGTTTACAATAGCCAAGATCTAAAAATAACCCCAAAGCCCATCAGTAGATGAGTATAAGAAAGCTGTGGTACATCTACACAATGAAGTACTACCTTTTGTGACAGCATGGATGGGACTGGAGATTATTATACTAAATGCAGTAAGCCAAAAGAAAGATAAATACTATATGATCTCACTTATATGTGGAATCTAATGAACAAAATAAACTGATGAACAAAATAGAAATAGAGGCATGAATATATGAAACAGACTGAGAGCTGTCGGAGGGGCAGGGGAGTGGGGATTAGATGAATAAAGGTGAAGGGATCAGCCAAACAACATCCATATATGCATAACCCAAGGACACAGACAACAGTATTATTATGGCCAGGAGGGAAGAGGAGGAGGTGGGGGCTGGGTGTAGGTGGGAAAAGGGGAGTGGGGTCAACAGGGACATCTGTAATTGTGTCAAGAATAAAAATAAAAAGGGAAAGAAGTGGATGATATCTTCATCCCTTCAAAAATGCTCAGTAAGTTGCTCAGTGTAATTTGCTTGAATTCCAAATTAGAAATGCAAGAACAAAGCAAATAGTAAAAATGACATTAAAAGTATTTAGTTCCCTAGAATCTTAAATTTCAGAAATCTGACAGAGAAAATAGGTAATTTATTTAGAAGCAGACAGCTCTGTTTTTAGAGGTGTTCAATAATTTCTTTAAATGATCAATAAGCAGCAGGTATCCTCAGAGTGTGCTATATCCACTTGCTAAGGAAATTCCAAAATCAGTAACCTAAAGTTAAATATTTAACTACTATTCTCCAAAATACATACAAGTCTTACCATATTTCCCATCATCTCTGCCTTGATAATCTTGGCTCCCAACTTGTTCTTCTCATCAACACTCAGGAAGTGGACCGACTCATCCTCTGGACTACTTCTACTTGAACAAGAGAGATTAAGAGCATAAGAAATATAGCTACAATGCAAATAACAGCATCAAGATTCAAATGTTACTATAGCTAGCCTCAAGAAAGCATCAATACCAAGTGATCATGATCCATAAATACATATAATCTCAATGTTCCACCATAAATTAATAGTTTAAGGTTCTTGTCACAATGCTATGATGGTTTATGACAGTCATAAAGGTAACTAAAAAAAGACCCCTAAAAATGAGGTAAATAATATATCAACTATTCAGAGAGAGAAGATGGCGTCTAGGTAATAGGGAGCAGATTCCATGTCCCTACAAAGGGGAGAGAAACCTGGCAGATCTATAGAGGAACAGAGCAGACAGCCAACAGGACCACAGCATATATGAAAATAGGAGATCAGACACTGTAGCAGACATTGAAAAACCAGAGGGTAAGGAGAGTGCTTCAGGACAATAAGGGCCCAGGGATCAGCACACGGAACAGGGCGGCTGCAGCCCCAGGCCCAGGGCCCACTGGGCCAGCCACAGGGCTCTTGGGAGAGACCTGGGTCAGCGCTCCCTCCCCAGCCAAGCAGGGTTTGAGCAGCACTAGGGGTGACCTGGTTGCTTAAACTTGCAGAGAGGGGAGTAACGACTGAGTGGCAAACACACGGGGGCTGTGAGTAACCATGCAGAGCCCTGGGAAGAGTGTGCACCCGAACCCGAACCCGAACCCATGAGACCAGAGGCAGCCTGGCCATGTGCGTGCACTCGCAACCGGGGGAGAGAGCTTTGTGGAACACCTGGGGACCACACCCGTGGACCCAGAGAGAGCATGCTACCCCAGGAGACCCGAAGCCTGTACCCATAAACCCGCAGTGAGTGCCCGCAACTCTGGAGACAGCACCGGCAAACCCGGAGTGAGCACTCCTGCAACACAGGAGACCCAGAGGCCACATCTGTAAACCCGCCCCTCAGCCTGATGCAGCAGCAAGAACAGAAAAACCGGTTTGGCCAGCTTGAAACCAGCAAGAGGTGTTTGTTTGTTTGTTTGTTTGTTTGTTTGTTTTTGTGTTTTGTTTTTTTTGTTTGATTTTTTAAGTAATTTATTTTTTAATTTTTAACCTCTCAATTCCTTTTGCTTTTCTTTCCTTCTTTCTTGCTTTATTCCTTCTTCCTTTCTTTCCAATTGTATCTCTTCTACCTTCCTTAGTCTGCTTTTTAAAAAAAAATACCCACAAATGAGACAAAAAACCCCAGAACTGTGAAAAGACCAGATTTGGACCAAAGAAGGGGCATCCCAACAGCAGAGACAGACAAATTTCACTTTGCTATTGCAGGGAACCTGCAAAATACTGCATATTTGTGTTATTATTTTTACATTATTCTTACATCTTTGATTTGAATTATACTTTTATATTCCTCTTCTTTCTGTTTAGGGCCCATTGCTTGGCTGGTTATATTGCATCCTCTCACAGGTTTCCCCTTGCTCTCTCATTCACAGTGTATTGCTAATTTACTGTCTTCACTTCACCTGTGTCCACTGGCACACTCCAGAAGATCCGATACTCCCTATTCTTAGTATTCAGATCTCATGGATTCTGTCATAAAATTGTTGCTCTAATATTATTGTAAATAATAGCTGTTCCATATTATTGTAAATACTTTGCAACACCCCTCCCAGATCTTAGTCCACAGTTTCCTGAACTCTATTACCGTAGTGATTAACTCTATTCTCTCACACGCTACACCTATTTACTATCCTTTACTCTCACCTTACCTCAGAATCTGACCTCCCACAACCTCACTGCTTTCTAGATCCAACTCACAAGTGTTCCCTCCCCAACAAGAGTCTTACCTTCTTTCCAACCTTTCTAAAAAGTGGCTAGTTGGGTGGAAGATCAGGGTTAACACTATACATAGCCAAAGGATCTCCTATCTCTTCTTTACCAGCTGCTACTGTAAATACAATAGAATACTCTCCTGCTGTGATAACCATTTTGCCTTCCCCTCCAACTGATCACAAAAAAGAGTAGGTAGAAGCAGTGAACACCAGGATACCCAAAGGAGTCTGAGCCACTGAGTCTAACAGGTATTCTACCACACCATAAACCCAGGGAGTCAAAACAGATCAATTTAAGAAGCTGAGGCTAACAAGAAGAGTCTCACAAACAATGGGAAGACAAAGAAACAGTCCCCAAATGAAAGAAAAGGCGGAAGCCTCAGAAAAAATGCTAGATGAAATAGAGGCAAGTCAATTATCAGATACTGAATTCAAAGCACTGGTTATCAGGAAGCTCAAAGAGCTCACCAGAAACTACAGGGCAGCTACAATGATCTCACTGCAAACTATATCAACATGAAAAGGGAAATAGAAACTATCAGCAAAGGCCAAGAGGAAATGAAGAATACAATTTCTGAACTGAAGAACACAGTAGAAGGAATCAAAAGCAGGCTAGATGAAGCATAAGATCGGATCAGGGAGCTGGAGGACAAAGTATAAAAAAATACCCAGAAGGAGGAAGAAAAGGAAAAGAGAGGCTCAGAAAAAATGAAGAGGGATTAAGAGAAATATAAGACAATATGAAATGTAATAATGTCGCAATCATAGGGATACCAGAGGGAGAAGAAGAGCAAGGGACAGAAAATCTATTTGAGAAAGTAATGATGGAAAACTTCCCTAATTTGATGAGAGAAAAAAAATCACACAAATCCAGGAAACACAGAGAGTCCCAATCAGGAGGAACCCAAAAAGGCCCAGGTCAAGACACATCATAATTAAAATGGCAAAATTCTAAGACAAAGAGAGAATCCTAAAGGCAGCAAGGGAGAAAAAAGAAATAACATACAAGGAGCCCCAATAAGATCAGCAACAGACTTCTCAATGGAAACGCTCTAAGCAAGAACAGAATGACAAGAAATATTCAAAGTAATGAGAACCAGAGGCCTGCAACCAAGGCTACTTTACCCAGCAAGGCTCACAATCAAGATAGAAGGCCAAATAAAAAGCTTCCGGGACAGAAGAAGTCTAAAATAATACACCTCCACCAAACCAGCTCTGCAGGAAATGCTAAAGGGACTGCTCTAAAAGAAGAAAGGAAAAGAGAGAGACAGAGAGGAACACAGGTACAAAAATGGCAATGAATAAGTACTTATCAATGATAACCTTAAATGTAAATGGATTAAATGCTCCAATCCAAAGACACAGAATAGCTCAATGGATAAGAAAGCATGACCCACACATATGCTGCCTACAAGAGACCTGCCTCAGGACAAAAGACCATCACGGACTAAAAGTGAAGGGCTGGAAACAAACTTTCCAAGCAAACAGACAGAAAAAAAAAAAAAAAAGCCGGGGTAGCGATACTCATAGCAGACAAAATAGACTTCAAAAAAAGGGCCATAGAAAGAGACCGAGAAGGTCACTTCATAATACTCAAGAGAAGAATCCACCAAGACATAAACATTGTAAATACATATGCACCCAATGTAGGAGCACCCAAATATATAAAGAAAATCTTACAGGGCTTCAAGAACAATATTGACAGCAACACAATTATAGCTGGGGATTTTAACACCCCACTGTCAAAAATGGACAGATCTTCCAAAAAAAAAATCAACAAAAATATTGTGGAATTGAACAACGTCCTAGATGAAATGGACTTAACTGATATATACAGAGCCCTTCATCCCAAAACAGCTAAATACACATTCCTTTCAAATGTACATGGAACATTTTCAAAGATAGACCACATGATAGGACACAAAACAAGCCTCAACAAATCCAAGAAAACTGAAATCATACCAAGCATTTTCTCTGACCACAAGGGACTGAAACTAGAAAACAACTCCACGGGAAAAATCCCCAAACACTCAAAATCATGGAGACTGAATAGCATGCTATTAAACAATGAATGGGTCAAGAATGAAATTAGAGAAGAAATCAAAAAGTTTCTGGAAAGAAATGAAAATGAACTCACCACAACTTAAAATGTATGGCATATAGCAATGGCAGTCCTGAGAGGGAAGTTCATAGCAATACAGGCCTACCTAAAAAAGATAGAAACATTTCAAACAAACAATCTAACCCTACACCTACAAGAACTTGAGGAACAACAACAAAAACAGCCTAGAGCAAGCAGAAGGAAGAAAATAACCAACATCAGAGCAGAATTAAATGACATAGAGACTAAAGCGCAATTTTTAAGGATCAATGAATCCAGGAGCTGTTTTTTTAAAAAGATAAAATTGACAAGCCTTCAAGCAGGCTCATCAAGAAAAAAAGAGAGGACCCAAATAAACACAATCAGAAATGAAAGAGGAGAGATTACAACTGATATCACAGAAATAGAAGGGATTATAAGAAATTACTATGAAGAACTGTATGCCAAGAAATTTGAAAACCTAGGGGAAATAGACACATTTCTAGAAAAATATAATCTTCCAAAACTGAATGAAGAAGTAGAAAGTCTGAACAGACCAATAACATCAGAAGAATTTGAAGCAGTAATCAAAAAACTCCTGACACACAAAAGCTCTGGACCAGATGGTTTCACAGAAAAATTCTACAAAGCATTTAAGGAAGAGCTAACCCCTATTCTTCACAGACTATTCAAAAAAATCTAAAATGATGGAAGACTTCCAAACTCTTTTAAGAAGCCAGGATCATCCTAATTCCAAAACCAGATAGAGACACAATAAAGAAAGAAAACCTCAGGCCAATATCGCTGATGAACACAGACACTAAAATCCTCAATAAAATATTGGCAAATCGCATCCAACAATACAATAAAAAGATCATTTATCATGACCAAGTGGGATTCATCCCAGGGATGTAAGGATGGTTCAATATTTACAAATCAGTAAATGTAATACATCACATAAACAAAAGCAGAGACAAAAATCAGATTGATCATGTCAATAGATGTGGAAAAAGCTTATGATAGGGTACAATACCAATTTATGATAAAAATACTCAGCAAGCTGGGAATAGAGGAAGCATTCCTCAATATAATACAGGCCATATA